GAGTAAGTTGTACAAAAACTCTTTCCACTCTGAAAAAATAATGGAGACATTGAATAGCAAATTAGTACCTCTTATGTAAGTGTTTCACTGTACACAGGGTAATTAAAACAACAGAGGCTTTAATGCAGGATGCATTCTCTTCTCATCTTTTCTGGCATTAAGTCTTAGGATGCTATGTCCTAAATTCTCATGAATACCTATTTATACTGATGCAAGTGCATCCATGCATGCACATGTCCACAATCACACATAGGCTACACACATAATAGGTTCAGTGGGCTCACTTTACTATTTCCTTTCTTATACCTTCCAATACCCCGCTTCCATCTTCCTGTCTGTCTCCCTGCTGGCTTCCCCCATCTAGGGGTGATATGCTTGGGTAGTAACAGTCCTGGCCTAACAGGCTTCAGTGTAGACAATGTTTAACCTTGTTCTCTAATGCTGACAACTTTGTCCTTGCTTGTCACTTGTCCCTGTCAGGACACAGGATGCCATTTAGTGTCTCACCTATCTCTCTGGGACAGAATACATTCCATGTTTCATTACTGCTTTCTGCTTTACTGTGATAAATTTATTGTTTTCTACCTTTCCTCTTTGCTTTCCCTTAGTCACTATAAAGTTGCTGAGATACAGTACTAGACATCCACCACTTAATGGAGGGAATGTTCCTTTATGCTGATGGTTTTTAGAAGATTCAGTTTATATGTGGCTCCAAGCCAGTCAGGTCATGGTGTAATGGTCTGGCAGAGGAAATCCGCCTGTGTCATAATACCCAAAGTTCAGAGACCAAAGTGAGAAACTGGGAAAAGAAATATACCCCTCCGCATCTTGTTCTCCGTAACTCTCTTCTTTCATCCAGGCCCCTCCTCCTAAGAACATATTTAGTTAGAAATGCATCAGAGGATCAATTTAATAATGAGTAGGGTGACCCACGATCCAGAAACATATCAAACACATGATGCTTTGGTAGCTACACCAGATAAACCATAACTCCCTCCCTCAGCCCCCCAAAAGATTGACGTTCATCTCTGCACCATATGGTTTTATTCTGTCTCTAATATTTGGGAAAGTCTTACCAGGTTTATTAGTGCTTAAAATCCCAAGTCCAAAGTCTCCTCTTGCAGTGACAAACAGAAACACTGAAACAACACCCAGGATTTGTGTTTTTTTTTTTTTTTTTTTTGGTTTTTCTCCAGTACTGGGAACCGAACTCACGACCTTGCGCTTGCCAGGCAGGCGCTTTGCCGCTGAGCTAAATCCCCCGCCCCACAACACCCAGGATTTGGAGGCAGATATATTTACATACATGGGTACTGATCAGGATCATTCCCAGAATAACAGTCCCTGATCTTTGGTGGTCTAGGATGTATATGAGATAAGCAAGCAGGAAGTACAGAGGCTGAATGTCTTGTCAATTGGGGATTGATTTATACAATATGTATCACAGTGACCAGCTATGCATCACAGTGACCAGCCATTTCGAAGAGACAGGAGCAACCAGGACTGGAACAGGAACTATTACCTGGGCAACTAACAAACTGTAGTATACTGGCTGGGGGGCGCATTTCCTGCTACACTCTGAGACTCAAGCAAACACTTATCTGTGAGCCCCTTTATAAGTAAAAAACAAAATTAAATAATGCCAACATACAATGACACAGGGTAAACTTTCCCATTCCAAAAGAGAGAAATGGGATAGAAAGGAATGGGACCAAAGCAACACCAAAACTCAGCAGAGGAGACATTGAGTCCTGTATTTCCCTGTCCAGAACCTGGGGCAAATTCTGGTGACACATGAGCTATCAAGGGCTTGTGTGGCCCAACCACTACAGCATTGGTTGTGGAAGCCCTTGTGCCTTCTATGTTGGGTTGGCTCTAATCATGTCTTGTGGTTTTTAATCAATACAGATATTGCACATTCCAAGCATCTGCAACTTTGTAGTGTCCCAAATGCATTTTCAGTTTTACTCTTACAGTTTTATGCACTGCCCTCTGAGAGACACAGTTCCTGGTTTGGCAGGCCTTCTAAAATTTGGTGGAAGTTTCTCTGACCCTACAATTCTAACAGTTTTCTGCATGTCCAGCACCATGTGGGTAATGACCAAGTATGCTATCAGCTTCAATAGCAGCTAGGCCCCCTTGCATCAAGGCTACAAAGGCTTCTTACTGCTCAGATGGCTGAACACAGTGAAAAAAATTCCCAGGAGACCAAATTCCCTAGAGGAATGTTCTGGAGTAGGGTATTCTGGAGCTGTCTTCTCAAACAACATCTTCAAGAAGAGTTTGCCTTTACCTTTTTACATGTTTTGACCAGTGAAGGGATGTATCTTGCTGCTTCTTGACATGCCTTCAAGCCATGTCTGCTATTATCCTGCTGAAAAGTACTTGTTTTACTAATGCTAGTGTTTTTAGCAATCTTTCCTTTACCAAACTTTCATGTGCTTCCTTTCATGGGAAACTCCAAACTCTTTAAATGGCCCTTTTGCTTCTGATTCTTCCTTGCAGAAAGCAGTCAGAAATACGTATGCCACAGGTTGAGAATTGGGCTGCTATGAAATTTTATCTGCCACATGAGTTAGTTCACATCCCGGAATTTCAGCCTCCTTCACTGCCTCACAGCAGGAAGTGTAGATAAATTTTCTTCTAGAACATGATACACATGGCCTCTGATACAACTGAGTGAAGTCCTCATTCATAACTGAAACCTGTGCATTTCAGGAACTGTGCACATTCCTATTGGCATTTTAATCTGACCTCCAACCAGAATTTCTCATCAATCTTTGCTTACTCCGCTTAAAGCATTCTCTGACTTCTCTAGCCAGCATCACCAAACATTTACAAACTCCACACACAAACTAGTTCCAAAACTTCTGAGCCACATGGTCAGGTATAGTCATGGCAATTGCCCCACTTCTTGGCTACCAAAATTTGTTTTGCATACTTTCTCATCACAGTGACAAAATATCTAACACAAGTAACTTTAAGTAGGAGAGATTTGTTTTGGTTCCCAGCCTCAGTGCATGATCGTCCAGCTCCAAGACAGAAATGGCATGGCTGAGGGAAATGGCAAATGAAAAGCTGCTCACATTATGGTTGTAGGAAGAATAGAGGGGTGGGTATATCTAGAGATCGAGATACACACTTTCAGGTCACATCCTCTATAACGAAGGTCTAAATAGTCCAACTCCTAAAAACACATTTAGTTATAAACTCAACAATGGATTAATGTATTGATGAACGTAGTACCTTCATGATCCAATCACCTTCCAAACACGAGGCTTTTAGGATCTGTATACGAGATGAACTTACATCTGTGGGAATTAAAATGTGCTCTGTGAACTGGGCAAGTGGAGCCATCCCCCAACTACTACATTTAAATACTGTCTCAGTCATTTTCACATCATCGTGTCCTGTTTGTTATGATTACAACTATACTCCACAACAGCACTCCATTCTTCCCTGTCTTGCTCGACAGGCTAGTGTGGTTGTGGGTTTGTGTTTGTGTGTACATGTGTGTGTATTATATATTTCTTTGTGGGAGAGGGACATATGTTAGTTTGAGTGAGCTGATGACACTGCAAGGTCATGGTTCAGGCAGTGTCTTTACCATTTATAGTTCCTACTTCAGGTAGATTAGAATCCGAACCCACTCAAGAAACAATCATTGAAAAGAGACTTCTCAGATTTGGGTCCCTTCCCAAAGAAGGCAGCAGCTGGTGTCACACTTCCAGTCCTTGTGTGGTCCTCTCACTGCTAAAACTCTGTGAAGGATCACTTCATTACAACCATAAAAAACATCCCCAGTAGCATGAGGGTGCTGGTTTTTCCCTTTGTCCTCTTTCTCTTGCTTATCCTGGAACTTCTGTCCCTCCTTCCTCTTTTTTCTTCTTCTCCTTCCTTCACCTATCTGTCCATTCCAACTTTTTCTTTCTTTGTTTCACTTAATATCTGCTAGAGTGACCTGTATTCTGTAGACACCACTTTTTCCTCTTGTTGGTTTTAGGAGATGATGTTTGTAGCACAAGGCAGTGGGGCCTCTCCATCTTTTTGTACCGTTGAGTACAGTTGGTGATCACCAGTGGAGTTCCTTTAATGTTCTCAAAGTCCACCAAAATGTTAGTTGTGAATTAGTTATGATCATGAGTGCAGTGATCCCAAATGAATGCATCTTGAGATGACAGTATTAAGTGAAATAAATCACGACACAAGCTTAAATACCACATTGACTCTCTTTTATGAGAAACTCAAAGTAAAAATAAAGAGCAAAAAAGATGTATAATAGGAAAAAAGGAGACAGGCCTTTTCCAAAAGGCAAGAGCACAAAGAGATGGAACAAGGGAGAGGGGAGGGAAAGGGAATGTCAAAATGAATTAAGATGTGTTATGTACATACCAACCTCCCATGAGGATAGTAATCATTATGTACTGCAAGCATGCACTTTTTTGTTTGTTTTTTGAGACAGGCTCTTGCTATGTACTTCAGGCTGACCTTGAACTCACTATGTACCCCAGCATGGCCTCAAACTCATGGTGATTACAAGCATGTGTCACCACTTCCATCTATTGATCTTTATCTTCTTTTGGCTAAAATGGAGATTGAACCTAGAACCTTGCACATATTAGGCAAGCACTCTATCATTGACCTATATCCCTAGCCCAGCATGTACTAATAAATAAAAACTAAAACCCAAAAATTCCTCAAGGCCTTTTTGTACAAGTGAAAAGCTCCTTGTGCAAGTAGAAAATTTTCAAATTTGAATAAAAAGTAGTTTTTTGGTACTGGGGAATTAGCTGTGGAACGTTAGAGCTACATCACTAGCAATTTTGTTGTTTTCGTTTAGAAACAGGGCCTTGCTAAGTCACTAATTTGCATAGATTGGCCACAACCTTGCAGTTCTCCCTCCTCTGCCTCATATAGTACTGGAATAACAGGCATGTGCCACCACATCCTGCTCAGGAACCACTTTGTGAAGATTTCCTGTGGCTTTTTCTTGCATGCAGTTGTATACAGAAGATAGCACGGAGTTCCATGTGTACATAGATGCATTCTGTTGTTGCCATTTCTGCATGACCTACCTCACTCACACAGGTAGGTACCACAGAAACAGGTAGCCCGCATACACCCTCAGTGACTGAGCCTCCAGATTCCATCTTACACACTGTCACACATACACACAAGGACACGTGGAAAAATAAAAGCTCATGCACTCCACCCTCCTCATCTCTCCCTCTTCTCCACTGGCATATGTCCCCTGCACACACCTGCATAGGCATGAACAGTCTCAAAAATTGGTGTAATAAAGGGTTAAGTAACTGCTGTCTGCTTTGTCCAAGTTTTGGCCACCACCTAACTAATTTAGCAAGTTTGCCTTCTTGAAAATGACAGAGTTTATCTGGTAGGGGATAGACCCAAGAAATAATTTGGAAAATAGAGAGTGCTGTAAAACCATGGTAAAGAGAGAACACTTAGTTTTAGTAGCAAAATAGTGGAGCTCTCTGCTGAGAAACTATGAGTCTCTAAACTGATTGGTGGCCTATATCAGCAGCTCTGTAAGTCAGGCCTGCTTAAAGGCTAACATCAGTGAATTTGCCTATCTCACAAAAAGTTCCTTTTATATTCTAATCTTAATATAGAATGAATGTTGCCTGTTATTTTCATTTTAATCAAATCAGTGTATGAACTACTATAGGTGTTGTAATCCAATGTGATAGGGATTAAATGGAAGAGTGGTTAAAGAACAGATGGCTGACAGAATAGAAATTGCACAGAGCTGATAGTAAGTTTGCTGGACTTTTACTGACTAATCATTTGTGACAAAGTCTCTATAATCTCTAGTTTCATAAATGATAGTGTGAAATACAAATTCTCTGTAAAATTGCAAAATTTTACTTTTACCAATAAACATTTAATGTGCACTTTGACTTGTATTCCATTTTTAGAACTTATAAAAATAGTCTTACATGTAAGCAAATTAATTTTCTCATTTTTAATCAAGAAAAACTGATCATTCTCAATGCCATTCTACACAGGAATGATTTAGTATTTTAAGCTCTTATACAATCTAATATTTTGAGATACATGAAGTTTTGTGGTAACATATTTTCATATAAAAATAATTTAGTTCTTAAAAACAAATTATTTTGCTTTCATCTTACTTGCATGATTATTTCATTTTCAGTGTAAATTAATAAATTATTCTGTTTTTATATCTTTCCATCTTAGGATCTAACCAGCACGATTTCTTCTCCTGAATTTGGATGAATTCTAGTACATGGGCAAGATCAGGTTGTAGACTTCTAAGACTGAAGGCCATGACCTGTATCATGGTGAGCTCACCAAACCAAATAGTGCTCAAGTGATGATCCTGCAGCAACCAACCTGTGCTATTGTTTGTTGATACCAAGTCCTTGCTGTATAATTTAATATTTCATAAATCCATTAAGTTCCCAATAAATTTTGTGTCTCATTGCTCTGTTAGATGTATATGACTATTTTCTAGTTAAATGTGAATTTTAAGGAAATATTTCTTAATGTCTCCAAATATCAAATAGTACAAAAATTAGTCTCAAGCCAGGGATACAGCTCAGTGGCACAGTACCTACCTGGCAAGTTCGAGGTCCTGGGTTCAATTTCAGGTTCTAAAAACAAAACAAAACAAAAATTTAGTATCAAAATATGACTTTTCTACAAATGACCACTTACTCATTCACTGTAGTGTGAATATATAAGGAAAGGTAGAGATAAATAAATTCTTAAAAAAGGAATTAAATTTCCCATACATTTTGTTTAATTCACTTTAATTTTTCTATGTTCTCTATATCCTATTATATTCATCTTCATTTCAATTTACATTTTAATGATTTAGATAGTTTGAGTGTTGTTTTCTTAAAATTTTTTACTTTCATTCTAAAATGCTGAATTTTAAATGCAGTATCCTATTTTAGAACATTTATAGTAATAGTAAAAAACTGTAAGAATGTTGAAACTTTATTTCAGTTTTTAATAGTTGCCATAGTTCATGAATTGCTCAGAAATTAGAGATTTATAGGAAAATTGCATTCAGATTTTATTAATTGCTTGTCAGGGATGTAAAAGAAATTTTATCTTATGAATTACAATAAAATGTAAATGTTCTGTGAGCATATAGTGTATCTGAAAATGTCATATAATGGACCTATATATTAAAATATGAAATAGCTATGCGATTTGTTCAAATAAGTAACTAAAGCTGACTTCATAAAATAAATATTTAGACAGATGGTAAATCTCAACGTTTCATTCAACAAGTTGCATTTAGTTGCTGGCCTTAGAATCAAAGAATCTGAAAAATTGCAAACTGCCATATGCTAATCATGTACATTCTGGAGTACTGTTGTACATAATTAGTGTGCTGTACTTTACTATTTTATAGGTTGTATGATACTGTTCTAAGACTATTGAACACACCAAAAATCACAAACAGTAATTGCAGAGTTTTTTATTCAAAATGACATTTGGTGATAGCTATTTCTTTGAAGTCTCAACATTATAAAGAAGACAAATCCCCAAATAATCCAAATATTCAATGCAGTTCTTATCAAAAGTCAAGTTACTTTCACTGTAGAAGTTTCCAAGCTGGTATGAAAAGTCATACCAAAATGCAGTAGTGACAATAGCCAAAATAATCTTGAACTGTACAAAACTGGAGAATTCACATTTCCAAATTTCAAAACACATGACTAGGGTACAAGGAACAAATTTGTGACATACTAACAACAATAGATGTTAGTTAATGATGTAGAATTAAAAACCTGGAAATAAACCTTCACTTCTTATAGACAGTTTTTGAGGAATGAGTCCAGGCTAATGGGGAAAGAGAATAGTATTTCCAGCAAATGGTATCAGGACAACTGAATAGCCAAATGAAAAGATGTTAGACTCCTTTTTCACACAAAATACAAAAAGGAACTGAAAAATGTATCACATGCCTAACTCTAAAAAGTATAAGAATCTTAGAAGGAAACACAAGAATAAATCTTTATGAACTTAAGTAACTCACTGTTTTTTTTAAGAAATGACACTAAAAGCACAAGTGGAAAAAGAAGAAAAAATAGATAAAATAGATTGATATAAATGAAACATTTTTCTTCAAAGGGCACCAACAAAACAGTGAAAAAACAATACATAGAATGTAAGAATATTTTTGCAAGTAATATATCTCATGAAGGACTTAAATATAGAATATGTAAAGACTACTTATATAGCAATAATGGGCGGGGGATTTAGCTCAGCGGCAAAGCACCTGCCTGGCAAGCGCAAGGTCGTGAGTTCAATTCCTGGTACCGGAAGAAAAACAAAACAAAAACAAAATAACAAGCAATAATGAAAAGGAAAGTAACACAATTTAAAAATAATGAAGTACTATAAGTAGACTTTATGCTAAAAACACGTGTATTTCGCATACCAAAAAATACTCAAGATAATCAGTCATCAAGGAAATGAAAATTGAAACCACTTTTCTGATGTATACCCCCAAAACTAAACAAAGAACAGGAAAATTTATACTAACATTATTCATATAGCCAAATGTGTAAATAATCCAAGTACCTATCAGTTGATAAATGGTAAATAAAATGTTGTACATTAATACTATGTAATATTAATTTGGCCAAAAGAATATAAGAACTACAGATGAATAAGCCCAGTGCCCAGGGGAGAAGGTAAGTGGAGACAGTTAGCCCCTCCATTGAGGAACAATAGATTGTAACAGCATGCTAGTCACTCTGCGGTCATTGTAAACTATAAAACTGTGGGAGGCTGAAAATGGTGCTCAGTAGTTCAGTGCCTGGCTAGAAAGCATCAGTTTGCTTAATGGTTTTAAAAAAAACCCTTAAAACGCAGTATAGGATTTCACTCTGGAAATGATTCCTTCCACATGGTAGAGTAGAATTGGAAAAGAAATCCAGTGCAACACCCCACACGCTCCCGCATATTGGAGAAGGTTTTATCTGGATCCAATTATGGAAATTGGTAATTGCTTAAAACCAAACTTCAGGGTTTCCAGTGTTGTCCTACCACAGTGATTGGATGAAAGACCCACAAGAAATGGTCATGGAGAGGATGTGGTCCAGTCCAAGACTGTCTAAGAAATTTAAAATCAAACCTGAAAGGAAAAGGTTCTCCACACTCCTTGATGAAAAGCCAAACTCAGCATGAGTGCCTTTTAGAGGAAACAATCTCAAAGTTTTGGTAATAAGTCCACCAATTTGCTTGAATTCCTGTACTGATGACTACATTCAACATAGATACTTGTGGTCTGATTCATTTCCCCATCTCCCAAAGTGCGCAAGAGCATGCCTCAGGCTTGAGGATTGCCATAGCCTAGGATGCAAAGACAAAGGGGGATCTGATATGGGGTGGGGGGCACCTCACAAAATCTACATGCTGCAAAGCTAAGGAGAGAAAACTAGGACTTGCTGGATTCCAAGGCTGCAGATTTTGGACAGAAAATTGTGGAATTTCCAAGAAACAGGAGTAATCAGGAGGGATTACAGGAGGACATTTCAGTGCATGATCCAGCCAGTAGAAATGCTCAAAACCAGGCTGAGCCTCCTTTATACAATTTGTGGCATCAAGTAAGTACAGATACAGAAGCCAAACAAAGATAGTTATTCTAGCAGCTAACACTACTTTAGTCTTCAAAAGAAGGCACATCCTGTATATCTCAGGATGTCAGGATGCTGTGAAGCTGATGTGCCAGCAGATTTAAGGCCTTTGCAGTATCATTACTGTTTCAAGTACTGCTTGTAACCTGATGATGTGGTTGAACATACAGATGGGGTGCAGGTTCCCCACATACTGTCCTGTATGGTTTTGAGGGACCTTATTTCTGTTTAAAAGATCACCTTTACCTTTCTCTTTTTCTCCAGTGTAGACCTCACACCAGATTTGTAAGGGGAGGGGTAGACTTGTAGTCATAACAGACATAGGGCTTTTTATCCCTTGGGTCTCATACTGAGTAGGTTATCTGATTGTGAGGACTAGTTCCCCTGTGCATCACTGTATACTCATAATAGGTATGATACAGCAGGGTCCTTGATATAATGTTTCCCAATCACATGATAAAAATGTAATGAGAGCATTCCTGTAGACAAAGATTTTCCCCTAGACTGAGGCAAAAGGAGAATTATATCAAAAAGGGAAAGAGACTTATGTAGTTGTTGTAACACCATGATGATCCTCAAGCTTCTGCTGTGTGTCAACTGGTTAGCCTCCAGAGTGACCAGAGCAAGGCTGATGATTCTCAAGCCTCTACCAAGCATAGATTAGTCAACTGATTGATGACAGCTTGATCATCCTGCAGAATCAGCCAGTTTCAGTGGTCTGAATCCTACTGGCTGGTCCACTTGTCTTGGGCTACTGGCCTCAGCTGGCAGTGTTGAATCCTAGGAAAATCTCCTGCAACTTTAACAGCAGTGCAGATAGACGAGATTACAGTGTGAGGCCCATCCCATATGGGCCCTAGTGTGGCATGATTCCAAGTTTTGACCAAACACAGTCTCAGGACTTAAAGTGGTGAACTGAATCTGCTAAACTTATGGAAATTCTCTCCTGTATGCATGGAAACCTTGCATGGTTATTCCAAAAGCTTGCATCTATCTCCTTAGAGTTAATTCTTCTAGTTCGTGAAGATCACCTTTAATTTGACTGATAATTGAGGGTGAATGGTCAAACAAGATTTCATAAGGGGAATACCATATTTGTTTAGTTGGGTACACCAGACACAGAGGAGAGCAATGGGCAATATTTGATCAAGTGCGCTTCTTGACATCAATGTTTCAGCAATTATTTGAGCAACTGGTTCATACTCTCTATATTTCCAGAGCTCTAAGCCTGGTAGGCTGTATATAATTTCCATTTTAATATCCATGTGAGGTCCTGAACTATCTTTGTGTCTTAGTTACTTTTCTCTTGTTGCTGAGACAAAATACCTGATTCCCAAAATTAAGGAAGAAATGTTCATTTAGCTTACACTTTGTGAAGGTTACAGTCCATACTTGGCTGGCTCCAAGGCAGAGTGACACATGGCAGAGGGCTATGGTTCATGGCAACAGAGAAACAGCAAAAAAGCAACAAAAGCACAAGGGGAGGAGCAGAGCAAGCATCTTCTTTCCCTCCCTTACACTGTATGCAAACTATCTGCCTCAGGGCAGGTGTAGCACTCACATCCATAATTCCAACCCCGGACCATAAATCAATCATAAACTGTAGAAGTGCACCCCATAACTTCACGAGGCTTTGGGGGGACAGCCAGACACAAGCCACAACATTCCACCCCTGGCCCCCCAAAGACTCATGTACATCCCTATATGCAAAAGATATTTTAGTCCATCTCTAAGAGTTGCCAAAGTCATACCAGTTTCAGCATTGCTAAAAAGTCCAAGTCGCAAGTCTCCTCCAAGATGTACGGCAAACTCTTAGCTGTGAGCCCCTGTACAAATGAAAAATTAAACACTTCCAACATTCAGTGGCACAAAATAAACATTACCATTCCAAAAAGTTCAAACAGTGGGATATAAAGCATTGGAACCAAAGCAACTCCAAAATCCAGCAGGGCTAACATTATGTCCTGTAGTTCCATGTCCAGCATCTGAAGCAATCTGTGGAACACTGTGAGCTCCAAAGCCCTTATATGGCTCCACCTCAGTGGCACTTCTGGTGGTTACAGCTCCCTCAGCTTCTCTCTTGGGCCTACTTTGCTCCCTCCTTGCAGTTTTCCTTAGACAATCCACATTCCTGGCTTTTCCAAGCTTGTGAGGTCTCCACTGAACCTCTGACTTTTCGCTCACAGCTTCACACACTGCCCTCTCAGGGGCCAACTGCCTGGGATTCTTC